TCTGAGTAATGACAGCGCCCAGAGAGGGCATGAAGTGAGGAGAGACATGGGCTCTGAGGCCTTGGTGCCTCCACAGGGGTGGGTGTCAGTCGGGGAAGCGGACCCTCGGGGGTTATTAGGGAGCCAGCTTGCATTACAGGGATCAGACCCGACTTGCTGGTGAGAGGAGGCAGAGGGCTAAGGAGGGGACAGAGGTGGGCATCTTTGGAAGGGCCGTGGCTCTTTGTGGCTGCCCTCCCCGGGTCTGCAGCAAAGGGTCTGGGTCCGTGCTGGTCCGCGAGGCCGGCCATCAGGGCTGAGAGCAGCCTGTGGGACTGGAGCAAGAACTGACTGGACCCGAGCGGCTCCCCGATGTCTGTCTGTCACCACCTCAACCTAACGATGACCTTGAAGGCATAGTGGCTGCTGCTCACCTTTGCCTCCCGAATCTCATGCACCTTCCCTTCGGCGACTCTAACTTGGAACCAAATCGGAGAGGGATTCTGAGACCCAGGGCTCCTGGTGTTACCGAGTAGACCAGTGCCATCCCTTAGAAACACAGCACAAGTCATAGGCACAACCTAAAATTTCTAGGAGTCACATTTCACAGAAAGGAAAAAGAGATTAAAAATTAATTATATGAACTTAGTGATATATTTAACCCAAATGTCCGAAATAGCATCATTTCATGTGTAATCAGTGCACACAATTATTTTTTCCCTGTTAACAGAGGCACTGGGGATTGAAGCCAGGACCTTGTGCACGCTGAGCACATGCTCTCCCACTGAGCTGTACCCGCCCACCCAGTATACACAGTAATGAGACATTTTGTAATATATTAAAAATAAGATATTCTTACTTTGCGTCTTCAAAACCTTGTGTGGATTGTACACTCAGCATCTCAGTTCAGACTGGGCACCGATCCGTAGGCCTGTGAAGCTGGCAGCTGCCACGTGAGACAGAACAGAAGTAGATGGAGGGCAGCCCTGTGCTGACTGTCACACAGAAATGCAAAGGCGCTGCTTTGGGACTGTCTGGACCCTGGGCCCTCAGGGAACGCAGGCCTGGGACTTGATGCGAAGAGCGGGTTCCCGGACCCTGCCCCTGGCCCAGGCTGAGGAGCTGCCTTCAGCCTTCTTGGCCAGCACATCACCTGCTCCCAGTCCAGTCAGAGAGAAGCCAGCTGTGGCCCCAGCCGGCGACCCCACCTGACTCCTCCCTTGGACGTCGCCCTTGGGAACAGACAAGGAAACTCACAAGCCCCTCAGGATGGAGGCTGCACTGTCCTGCGGCCGGGCGGCCGGAGGTGGTACCAAGGGCACAGCTGCCCACCCCTGTGCTGGGTGGCGCTGAATGGTGCCGGGCTCCAGACTTCGGACACAGCCTCATGGGAAGACTTCCTGTGTCCCCAGTCCCCTGGATGGTCAGCTGTGACCGTAAAGGCCCCCTGAAGGTTCACACTTCTGAGTCAAAGCCTTGGCACTTGGATCGGAGCATGTTCTTGGTGGACGAAGGGCAGGTTGCTTTCAGATATTCAACCTTGGTTTGTGCGGGTCATGAATCTGTTTTGTTTGAGGGTGCTGTGGGAACACACATCTGGGCAGAAGCAGGGTGAGAAACAGTCCAGAAGAGAAGCAAGGCTGCCACGGGGAGACCAGAGGCCACGGGCTCCTCGTGGCCGGGGAAGCAGACGGCACCGGGGAAGAAGGGTGTGGAGGCGACATGAGCAGCCAGGCCCCAGCCCACAGTTTGGCGAGGCCCGAGTGACCTGTTGTCTCATAGCTGGGTGCCCGGAGTGGGTTGGCCTGGCCCTGTAACTTCCCCTCTGACGACTCCCTATCTGCCCCAGGGAAGGTCAGTTCAAGCCTATTTGGCCATGAAATTTGGGCAGCATCTCAAGCTGCTTCTTGGGTCCCCTGGGGGCCCGTGGGGGTCAGAGGAGGCCAGAGGGCCTCTGTTCCTCCCTTGTTTGGACTCCAGGAGCCTGGCTTTGTCCCCAAACACCAACAGCAGATTAGGCAACTCTGCAAACAGAACCAAGGCCCCTGGCCAGTTGCCCAGGGTGTGCAAGGTCCCAGGCACAGAGGCAGGAGGTGTGTGTGCACGTGGACACGCCACACGCGAAACAGAGCCAAAGGCCCCGGGCTGCCTCTGACCCAAAGGCTCTCCTGGGCCCCTCTGTCCCAGGGCACCACAGCACCAGACTCAGTGGTTCCAAAACTTAGCCAATTCGTCTCAGGAGATGACACCAACTACGTTAATAAAAGCAGAGGTGCCGGGGGAGGGAAGTACCCCATCAACTTGCAGCTCTGCTCCTTTAATCTAGTTCTGGCCTCCAGACAGGCCTCCCAAATGACTAACGAGAATGCCCGTGACTATTAGTGTCTGAAGTCAGTAATTTACGATATGTCAAGTGCGTCCACAGGCTGAACGCAGGAATGGAGAGGCCCTGGTTGTAATCCGCCTTTACTCGTGGGAGGGCGTGACCTTTCCGTCTCAAGCACAGAGTAGGCACCGAGCAGGTGTGACTGGCAGGCCATCCACAGCGCACCTCTTGTCTACTTAGCCTAGTTTATGGTCCAGTTGTTGGGTTTAAATGTTTTCCAGATTTTCTCAATGGGGCTCCTGAAACAAATCTGTCTAGAAGATGAAGTGTAGTCCTATTTAGAAAGGGAACAAGAAGTAGAGGGGACTGTCTTGAGTGTTGTTTCTTGAACATTGTCTCCTGCCTTCTGTGTTTGTTTGTATTTATGGTTTCTTTATCTTTTCCTCCCTCTCACTCTTCCCATCCAGGATCCAATTCCCCGCCCTGGTTTCTCGTGTATTTTTCCAGGGAGATACACACACAAACTTTATCTCTCTCTCAATCTGTTTATTATCTATCTTTTTATCTATCCAGGCAAGTACATATATATCTGTATATCCTCTTCGCTCTTTTTTTTTTTTACAAAAACATTAGCCTACTATTTCCTTGCTTTTTCATTTTTGTTTTTTATTTCATTTTTTAAAAATTTTTATACAACTTTCAAAGGTTACACTCCAATTACTGTTATTACAAAATATTGGCTCTGTCCCGTGTTGTACAATACATCCTTGTCGTCTGTCTTACACCCAACAGTTTGTAGCTCCTACCCCCATCCCAATACGTCCTTTCCCCTTGGACACCTCTCCACAGAACCACGTGAAGAGCGTTCAGGTTTTCTTGGACAGCAGCATGATTTCCATGGTACAGACATGCCATAATTTATTTAACCAATCCCTCACTGATGGTCATTTAAGTTGTTTTCAGTCTTCTTGCCATCACAAGCAAAGCTACAATGACCACCTTGTACAGACCTGATTTTTGGACATCTAAGTCCAAGTCCAAAAGAGGAACTCCTGGACATTTGAACAACTGTAATTTTGAAAAATATATTGCCAAATTACCTTTTTTTTTTTTAAAGTTGAAGTGTATTTGACATACAACAGTATGTTAGTTTCACCTGCACAACATAGTGATTCAATAGTTGTATCCAAGCAGACCTGGGAGATATTGCAGATTTGCTTCCAGACCACCACAAGAAAGCAAATATTGGAATAAGGCAAGTTACACAAGTTTTTTGGTTTCCCAGTACATATAAAAGTCATGTTTACACTATACTGTAATCTATTAAGGGTGCAAAAGCATGATGTCTAAAAAGACAATGCACACCCCTTAATTAAAAAGTTATTTACTGTTAAAAAATGCTAACCCTCATCTGAGCCTTCAGCAAGTCTTAGTCTTTTTGCAGCGGTAACACCAAAGATCACTGATCACAGATCACCATAACAAGGATAATAATAATAATATTAAAAAGTTTGAAATGTTGGGAGATTTACCAAAATGTGACACAGAGACATGAAGTGAGCTAAAGGCTGTTGGAAAGATGGCACCAGAAGACTTGCACAGTGCAGGGTTGCCACAAAGCTTCAATCTGTAAAAAACACAGTATCTGTGAAGCACAATAAAAATGAGGTACGCTTGTACATTGCAAAATCATCACCACAATAAGTCTAATTCCTTTGTGTGTCATCATGCAAAGTTAACACAATATTATTATTGACTTTTTTCCCCTATGTTGTATGTTACATCCCCATGACTTGTTTATTTTATAACTGGAAGTCTGTACCTCTTAATTCCATTCACCCATTTCCCCCAACCCCTCAACAACCCCCTTCCTCTCTGGCAACCACCAGTCTGTTCTCTGTACTGTTTACAACAGCCAAGATATAGAAACAACCTAAGTGTCCATAGATGGATGAATGGATAAAAAAGACGTGAGATACACACACACACACACACACACACACACAATGGAATACTACTCAGCTATAAAACAGAAAGAAATCCTGCCATTTGCGACAACATGGATGGACCTTGAGGATATTATGCCTCATGAAATAAGTCAGAGAAAGACAAATACTGCATGATTTCACTTACTGACTGAATCTAAAAAAACACAGCAAACAAACAAAACCCAGTTACCTTCCTTAGGGTCTGTATACCATTTACAAATGGAAACGAATGAGAGTCCTTTCCCCACACCCTCATCCGCACGATGTGGTGGCAGATTTTTTAATATTTTCCAATTTGGAGGAAATATCTCAGTGTAGTTTTAATGTGCACTTGTCATGAGAAATTATGTGTAAGAGCCACTTCCTCTTCCGTGACCCGATTATTTGAGAAAAAGTCTTCTTATCCTTATACGTTATTTTAAAAGACTGAAGCAAACCCCTTAAAAAAATGGAGAGAGAAAGAAAATTTATAAAAGCAGCCGTCTCATCGCACCCTCTTGAGCTGGGGTGACTTCCGATGACCAACTTGGATTATCTTCGGACAAAGATCTGGAAAAGAACAGAAGCATATCGGCGCTGAGAACCTGGTGAGGATCCTGCCCCGCTGCCCCCACCCATCCTGGGAGACCTGGCTGGAGGGCGGGGCCCAGGACTGAGGCTGACCCCATCTCCAACTCCATCCTCCGAACACACACGCCGACATCCCAGGCCAACTCCGCTTTTGCCCAAATTCCGTCTTCCTCGCCTCCTCAGGAACATTGCACCTGCAACTGTCCACGCACAGCCCCCCATCACTAGCTCCACCGGTCCTGGGATAACCTCGCCAGAAGGCAAACATGCTGTTATTTTTCTTCATCTTAATCCACCCCTGAGCTCCTGCCCCAGTCAGCCACTGTTCAAGTCTCCACTCTCCTTAAAGTAAAATCCCTCGGAAGAGTGGGGTTTCTCTCTCTACCTCACCTTACGTTTTTTCCCAAATCCTCTATGTCCATGTTGACTTGTTATGTCTGCTTTCTGTTGGTGTCTCAGAGAGAAGTATTAAAATCGCCAATTATTATTGCAGATTTGTTGATTTCTTTTAGTTCTGTTAGTTTCTGCTTCATGTATTGAAGTTATATTATTAACAGGACACATTTGGGATTATTATGTTTTCTTGATGAATTGGCTGTGGAAATTCTCTCTGGACATATTTTTTGTCCTGAAGTCGCCTTTTCTTATACTAACATAGCCACCTCAGCTTTCTTTTGATCAGTATTTCCATGGTATACCCTTTCCCCACTTCTTTTTGGTGTCCATGTATTTAGTGAACAGTGTTTAGTTGGGTCTTATTCTTGTACCCAGTTGGACAGTCTCTGTTTTTTACTTGGAGTGTTTTATCCATTTACATTTAAAGTAATTATTGGTGTGGTTGACTTTCAGTCTAGCATTTTTCTGTGTGTCTGTTCCATCTGCTCTTTGTTCTTTATTTTTTCCTTTCCTTTCTTATTCTGGATTGAGTATATTTTAGAATTACGTTTTATCTCTTCCCAACTTTTTTAAAAAGTGGACTTCATTTTTTTAGACTAGTTTTAGATTTATAGCACAATTGAATGAAAAGTACAGAG